TACGGAGTTCACCGTGTTCCGTGCTACCGTATCCCCGTTCTCCGTTGATTCCCCGTTATCACCGTTATTCCCCGTTTAAACGGTATATTCCCGCGTCTACCGGGATCTTGTAGTTCCCCGTTCTACCGTGATTCCCGTTCTACGTGATTCCCGTTCTACCCGGTGACTCCCCCGTTTTACCGGTGATCCCGTTCTACCGGTGATTCCCGTTCTACCGTGCCGTTTCCGTATTGCTTCACTGGAATCAACTTCTCTACTCTACTATACCAGGAAGTCCTATTAATAGAAATAGTGATAGACTCCTGACTATACTAACGTTATATAGTAGAAGATCAGTGATTATCCCTGCATATCCACGCTTCTCTCTGTAGATGGCACCCGTATCACGAAACTAAGCTTGCGCAGCTGACTCACAATACTCAGTGCGGCGTCTAACGTACGGCTCCGCGCGAAGCGGTGGCGTGACTTGGCAAGTTGGGTTCCGTCATGCCTCCCAACGAGGAGGAGGAGGAGGAGGAGAGAGAGAGAGGGAGAGAGAGAGAGAGAGAGAGAGAGAGAGAGAGAGAGAGAGAACGCACGAGGAGGAGGAGGAGGAGGAGAGAGAGAGAGGGTGAGAGAGAGAGAGAGAGAGTGAGAGAAAGAGATAGAGAAAGCGCGAGACAGAGAGAGGGCGAAAGAGAGAGAGGGGGAGACAGAAAGAGAACGAGAGAGAAAGAGAGAGATGCTTGGGCTGCTATTAGAGTACGTGCGTGGGGCTTCACTACTGACATATATATACAAGGATGTAATAATAATATATGAGGGAACACAATAAGATAAGGGATACGATGTAATTAGGTTACACCACGTGAGTGAAGAACGATCGTCGTTTTAACTTATGAACATCAACTATGACGTATAACATTGCGCAACCCGGATGTACATGTTTGAGTTACCGACTGGGCGCTTCGGACATGACGTCATCAATGGGAAATAATTTCTCATTGGCGAGTATTAAACGTCGACGGAGCTATGTTCTATATACGTGTGTGGATCACTGATCTCTATATATACTAACTATACTAATATAGTTCAACTATAATATAATATAACTATAATAAAATATATAACTATACTATAATATAACTATAATATAATATATAACTATAATATAATATATAACTATAATATAATATATAACTATAATATAATATATAACTATTATGTAACTATACTAATATCAGTCGTGGATGCTCACTGGCATTTGCTGCCGGCCTCCACACTAAAGTCCACGAACTTAAGGCGGATGCGCGAGTTATAGGGGGCGCTGATCAGCCACGTGCAGTCCTCGCTGTCCGGATAGTATCCGGGCCGCTCGTATCCGGGACTGAACACGTGGCCGACCGTTTCCGGTCCGATCGTGATTCGCGCTCCGCAGGCGCCATCTGTAGGTAGAAAAATCATTATGCATTTTGGCATTTCTCGCAGCACACTTTCCTATTACGTCACACGTAATGGTAGTATCGCATTATCGCACCTTAGTACCTACCTAGTGATGTGTTTTTGTTAGTAACTCTGTATAGCGCAGGCTTACACGCACTCCCCACTATAATGTCCCGACATTACATAACTATTCCAAACATAAACTAGCTATAACAATAACAAGTTAGGACGCGTGATCCTGATCCTATTGATTCACCCTAGTGTCTATAGTGATGTGTTTTTGTTGGTAACTCTGTATAGCGCAGGCTTGCAGGCACTCAGCACTATATGTCCCCACATTACATAACTATTCCATAACATACTCCAACCCAGAAATCTAGCTATAACAATAAGTAGTAAAGACGCACGATAATGATCCTAGTAATATATTCTACTACCTAGTGTTTCTGATTGTAACTCTAGTGTAACCTAGTGTAACCTAGTGTACTGATTGTAACTGTGTAGGTAGGCACTCACCAGTATATGGCTCCACTATGGGACCGCTGGCGGTGTTGTGCCTCGCTCTCACCCGATGTGCCACCTTGGTCCGTCCGGCACTGTGGTGGTGGGTCCGGGATGGGGGCGTCCGGCCGCCTGGGCTGTGTCTTCGCGTGGTCCTCCTCACTGGGGCCTGCGTGGTGTTGCGCGGCGGGTGGGGGCGGGAGGGTGGGCGCGGGGGGTGTCGCCCTTGGATTGTCTCACCAGCCTGTCGGTTGTCATGAAAAAATCAAATATCAACTATAGCCATAACGTATCGACACATGTTTCTCACGTATAATATAATAATAATAATCGTAATAATAATAATGGTATATATATATATATTATTAATAATAATAATAATAATTTTATTTCACAGTAATTATAGTGTATCATTTAATATAGAATTACAATTCCGTAAATATGCCGTACGTACGTATTTCGATACGTTTCGTTTCCGATAACGCCGTTATAGAAACATTGCGTATCACATGTCACTGTGTCCTCCTATTACGAGTTTAGTTGATAACATGCTATCGTCTGCTACTGCCGTGTGATACAACAACACGGACAACGTTATAACCATATAAAAATCTAGGGAGCACACCTTGTGAGAGATGGGCGTCGGAGGGTGGTATTTCTATGGTTATAACGCATGTCAGCGTGGCAATAGCATCATACGCCGATGCCGCCAGAGGGAGCGAGCCACAGTACGCGAGAACTATAGGAATTACTGTTTCTGGTGAGTAGTCCCAGAAGAACAAAAGTAACCACGCAGCAGCGCCACCTACTGGACGCCATTCGCAGCACACGTGAGTTCAGGCGCTGGCAGCAGCGCCCACACTATTCGGACCACCAGGCCGCAGCAGACACAGGTCGCGCCCCTAACGCAGCGACATCTATCGACCATCAGCCGCAGCAGACACGGGTCGCCGCAGGGCAGCGCCACCTACCGTGCATTTAGCGAGGCGGGGCCAGTTGCAGATGCCTCTTCTCTTGTGGAAGTGTAGGCCGGAGGGGCAGGCCTTGTGGAAGGGGGCGCCGTTAGAGCAATGGTAGAACTTGGTGCAGTCAGCCGGGTCGGCGTACAGACCGTTGGGGGCCGGGCAGGCGAACTCTCGCGCTGTAACAAACAAACAAACAAATAAATAAACAAATAAACAATGGTTAGGTACGTATAATGCGTTTAAGTGCGTTATATGGTTAGAACCTACACACGCACAGACACAATACACCGCCACGACATACGGCGCACGCGCACACACGCTCGCCGCGGCGACATCATACATGCACACGCGCGCACGGATCGCACACGAACACACACACACACACACCACACACACGCACGCACGCAGCGCACGCACGCACGCCCGCACGCACGCCACGCACGCAACACGCACGCACGCACGCACTGCACGGCACGCACGCACGCATCGCACGCACGCACGCCACGCACGCACGCCTACGTACACACACACACACACACACACACACACACACGCTACGCACGCACGCACGCAACGCACGCACGCCACACACACACCACACACACACACACCTCCCTCTCACGCGGTGCTCGCACACTCCGGCCAATTGCAGATCTTCAACACGGGGTCGAACTCTGTTCCGGTAGCGCACTCCATGTGGCGCCCCCTGCCGTCGTCGCACTGGTAGAACTTGTTACAGTCTGCTCGTCGCGGAAAAAGAAGCCGCCGGACTGCGGGCAAGGAGAAGCCAGCAGCCTCTCCAGCGCCTGCCGTAAGAGAGCAGGAATCAGCGCGAGGGTGAGGAGGAGCGAGTGAATGAAGTAGCGGGGAATTAGCATCTACACACGCACGTATGCACGCACGCAAACTGTTGCGCCCGCCACAACGCACGGACGCACGCACGCACGCACGTCACGCACGCACTCACGCCACGCCACGCACGCACGCACGCGCGCACGCATATACGAACGCATCTGGCAGCAGGCAGTGCGACGTCACGGGACCAATCCCCTGAACTCTCAGCAGAGCATGGGAAGCGGTCTTACGAGTTACATAGAAAGGTTTCGTTACGTTTTTGGCTAACATACGGCACCGTGGTATTAGTGTGGACATTTACTATATGTGTAACACATGTGTAACCTACCTCTGCCAGCCATAGAGCTACAGGATACGGCCTCTTCCCAGTTACACTCCCCCAGGCTATCATCGAACAGCGTGCCTGGCTCGCACGGCATCCGCAGCGCCACCTGCCGGTCACATTCGTAGTACGAGGTGCAGTCGAGCGGGTCACGGAAGCGTCCGCTCGCCTCCGGACACGTGAAGTCGGTCAACTCCGCCGGTTCGTCTGCGCATGCGCGGAGACGGAAATTATTCGCATCGTCCGCTTTTTTTTCGCTCGGCAATATGGCCGCCTCAGAATTCGGCATTCGGCAAACTTCGGGCGAATCCGCCCTCTCTTCTTCGTTCAACACACACACACCACAGCGCGCCACACACACACACACACACACACACACACACACACACACGACACACACCACGCCGCGCGCGCCGCCGCGCGCGCGCGCACGCACGCACCGCACGCACGCACGCACGCACGCACGCACGCCACGAACGCTCGCACGCTACGCACGCTTTCGCACGCACCAACGAACGCCACGCACGCACGGCCACGCACGCACGCACGCACGCACGCCACACACACACACACACATTACATATATATGATATATATATATATATATATATATTATATTATACAATTAAATTACCACTTACTTACCTTCAGCTTATTTTTTTATTTTGCGCCGCAAATACTGGGCAGCCTGCACCCTTTCCCCCAGGAGTTATCACGGCCCCTGTGTAGTCCATTTTCAAGATCAATCCTACCCGTGCCCACATAAGCATTCAGATGATCTAATACAAATAATTTATTCCTGTAAGCAAAAGGTTACAGGTTGTTCTTCGATACTTACGTCTTTTTTGCGTCCTTGGTTTGCTTCTTTTCGGCTTAAACCCCGTTTTGGTGATCCACCCACGCTTAGTTACTGAGGCGTGATCCCCGTTCTACCG